AGCCGTGAGGTGGTGTTCAATGGCAACGGTTCGGGACGCAGCGATCGCACGGCGCGCGTGCTACGTGTGTGTGTGTGTGTGTGTGTGTGTTGTGTGTGTCGTGTGTGTGTGTGTGTTCTGTGTGTGTGTGTGGTGTTTGTGTGTTGTGTGTGTGTGTGTGTGTGTGTGTCTTTGTGTGTGTGTGTGGTGTGTGTTGTGTGTGTGTGTGTGTTGCGTATGTGTGCGTTGCGCTGTGCGGGTGCCGTGTGGCGTGCGTGCGTGTGCTGCGTGCGTGCGTGCAAGTGCGAGCGTGCGTGTGTTGTGGTGGTGTGGGTGTTATATGCGTGTTGTGTGTGGTGCGTGCAGTGCTGTGTGTGTGTGTGTGTGTGTGTGTGTGTGGTGTGTGCTTGTGTGTGTGGATGTGTGTCGTGGGTCCGTGTGCGTGGGTGTGTGTGATGTGTGTGCATGCGGTGCGTGCTGGCGTGCGAGCGCTGCGCGCGCGCGCGTGTAGTGTGTGTCCGTTGGCGGTCGTGTGTTGCTGTGTGTGTGTGTGGTGCTCTGTGTGTGTGTGTAGTGCGTGCGTGCGTGTGCGGCCAGTGTTCGCGTGTGCTTGTTTTGCGTCTGTGTCTCGTTGGTGTGTGTCCACATAGTGAGCCGAGCTTTATATGTCGACGCGCGGCTTTTCATAGGGGAATAATTAGCTAGAGGCAGTTGAAGGAACGTTAGCAAATGGATGAGAATAATTTAATATATAATGTAAGATTGCTTAACATGCTACTGCCTATGCCAAATTCAATCGCTTTATTCGGCGGTGCTTTCCGCTAGATATGGCATTCGTTCTAATATTGCCAAGAATATATATAGTAATATATATAATTACATACATACAATACATACATGACATTGGCATGCATGCATGCCATGCATGAGCGATGCAATCATTGGCATGCGCATGCAATGCATCATACATGCATACATACGCACTTACATACATACATACATACCATCATAACAACATACCATACATACATACATAACATACATAAGTACATACAACATACATACATACATACATACATACATACATACATACATCATACATACATACATAGCATACATTACAGTACATACATATATCCATTACATACATACTATTACATAGCTATCATATCATACATAACATACATAACATACCAATCATAACATACATACATACATACGATACATAACATACGATACATACATTCATACATACATACATACATACAATACAAGTACAATACATACAAGTACATACATACATTACATACATATCATTTTACATACATACATCATATACAATACACAGTAATACATACATACATACATACATACAGGATACATACAAGTACATATCATACAATACATACATACATTACAGTACATACATTATAATTACATGATATTATATATTAGCCAGAGATAATACATTGGTTACTCACGTTGGATTAAGGCCTGCCAAAAGAATTGTTGACCGTTAGTTGTCTTCTATCACTAACTGAAATTAATGATAGACACAGAATTTAATGCTTTCGCGTCCAGCATTCAGTTTAGGCCATGCTCATGGACCGATAGTAGGCTCACTAGGTAACTCAAGACTAGTAATTCCCATAGTAAATAATTCGGTCGTGGCCTGTTGCTGTATTGCAGAATTCACTGCACAAGCGGGACGAGACAGCCCACAACCCTCTATTGACGTTCTTCGCGAAGATGAACAACACTTTTGCTTAATCATAGAGTTGAGCCGTCAGTAAAACAGGGGTTTACTCTCTCGTTGGAGCGCTCGTGTTCAATGTATTGTTGGGTTTGGAGGCTAAACAGTCGCATACATTTTATTAGGGATGACGACCAGCGTTGTGTTTTTTTTATCATCAATCATGAGCTACCATAAGCAAAAATCGCAATTCGTTATTGTGTGAGATTAGAGCAGTTCGCCTACTTGGATGTCGGCATTGCCAGTTATAATCGTTGGCAACAAGATGGCTGCCTGTTCATCATGGCTTGCCCACGTTCCGGTGACCCGGTACTGGTGTAATGCGGCGTAGTGAGCGTAACTTAAAGGATCTGTAAAAAGCTAATGAACCTCTGTACGGCGTAATTCTGAATAGGACTTTGTTCGAGACAGCCGCGCAGGTTCCTTTTTCAAGGACGAGGTGATTCGATGAGGCTTAAGTGATCGAGTCGAGTCCATCACCAAAATCTTACAATGTGCCATATCACTTTTTTAATTTCTCTCTCACTCTCTCTCTCTCTCTCTCCATCCTTCTCTTCTTCTCTTCTCCTAGCATCGCTCTCTCTTTCTATCACTCTCTCAATCTCATCTCTCTCTCAGTCACTTTTTTCTCATTCTCCACTCTCGACTCTGTGTCTGTTTCTCTCGCCTTTCTGTCTGCTGTGTTTGTCTGAGTGTCTGTCCTGTCTTGCCCTCTTCTTATCTTTTCTACCGGTAATTCCTGTGGCGGTAAGTAGTGAGTAATTTATTTTTGTATTCCAGCTGTTTACTGCACTGTTTCCACACACAAAGTTTCGTTCGGAGTTATGATTGTACAGTTTCATCGAGTATGTCATTGGTAAAATCGGCATTATCGCATCGCGAAATTGCTAACCGTTAGCGGCAGGCGAAAATGAAGAGCCTGGCGTGTCTGTAAGGATCGCTAACAAGCGATCAACCTGCAAAACCTCCGCCAGTCCGCTCATATTAATCGCGTCCGTGATTTGACGAATTGGTGGGCGAATTGCGTGCTCGATTAACAATGCTGTAAGAAAAATGGTAGGAAGTCCTGGTATAGAGTAGTTGGTAGATTGTCAATGACTGTAATCATATGCTGTCTGTTAAGACGCTCCCGATTAAAAATACACGATTTGATATAAGCCAAGAATATACATTAAATGAAAGTTTTCAACGATGAAAGTTGTCGTTATATTGTTCGATTATGCTCAAATTATTAGTGCAACGTGTAAAGTAGAAAGATTTTGCGTGTGTAATCATCACGTTGTAATATAATGGTATGTAGTATGTGTCGTCGATATGTGCCTAGGTGTGTTGTATACCTGCAGTATATCAATAGAGCTAGGCGAATATTTTGGCAGAATTTAAGTACAATTGAAGTCGCAGATATCGGCAGTGATTCGATGTAGAATTTTTACATGTGCCATCGGTGCTTGTGTGTGTTGTGTGTGTGCTGTGTGTGTCGTGTGTGTGTGGCGTGTGCATGTGTGTGATGTCGTTGTTGTGGTGTGTGGTGTGATGTGTATGATTGTTGTTGTGCGTGCGGTGCGTGTCGTGCGTTGGTGCTGTGGCGTATGGTGCGTGCATTGCAGTGGTGGTGGTAGGTGTGTGCTGGGGGAGGGAGCGCGTAGCGTGTGCGTGCGTGCGCGCGTGCGTGGCGTGCCTGTGTGCAACAGCGCATAGCGATTTGTTTGGCAGAAAGTTAGATATTCATCAAAATATCATACATTAAGTAGGTCGGAGCGTGAGTGAGGTATAAGGAGGCAGGGGTTTGTGGGCAAGAAGTAGGTGTACGTGTGACTAGTCAATGCTCCACCCTGTATACCTTACACTGTGAGGCCTATTATTACTGTGACGCGCCATGTTCAAGACAACACACTGTAAGTGGTGTCCGAATGGTCAAATGTTGTGATACATGCACTGTTCAATCTGTAGCTCTCTCTATCTCTCACGCGCTGTTCTTTTGATCAGCCCCCTTCTCTATACTCTCGGCCTCTCTATCTCTACTTTCTCCCACTACATCCTGCTGTCCTCAGCACACCGCACACACATTATTCCACTCCCTAATGCTCGGCTACGCGTCTGTTCTTCTCATCTCTGCATGACTCATCAGAAATTTATAGAAAATCAGTTGATAGATTCGAAATGCGCACACGCGCATACGCGAGCACACACACACACACACACACACACACACACACACACACACACACACACACACACGCACGCACGCACGCACGCACGTAGGCAGGCACGCACGCACGCACGTAGGCACGCACGCACGTAGGCACGCACGCACGCACGCACGCACGTAGGCACGCACGCACGCACGCAGGCACGCACGCACACACACCTATCTTCTGCCACTAATCGACCACCAACATAACACCACGTGCACACACACAACTTGTGTGCCGATTCCGTAGTCTTGACCCTCACACATTGATGTTTGTAGCGGGGATCAATGGATTACTACGATCAGGAATGTCACAATGTAGACACTCTAATATAGCCTATATTATGACACTCCTGCTACGATTAGTACGCTGGATGCCCACCAGGTAGCAAGGTAGGTAGACCCTTTTTAATGGAAAGAAGTTTTAGCGTGTGAGGTGTACCGTCTATAAGTGCGTGCGTACGCGTACATCTGCATTGAAAATTCGATATAATATTCGCGCGCGTGCGTGCGTACCCTGTTCCAGTTTTGCTTATATATAACCATAATGAAAGGCATTGCATACACCATGGAGGTGAGCATATAGCATTACCAAATAGTTACTAAGTAGACTCATTTATTTTATGATCCGCTCGCAGAGCATGAGAGATTCCACTTTTGCAACACGTGAACTTCGAAATTACTGCTTGTTGCTAAACCCAATCAGCATATCAAGCTTGTTTTGTGAAATCACGCCTAATGCGTGCATAAATATACATACTCCCGATAAAGCATTACACAACCTATAAAGATAACCAAAGAGGAAAACGGGCGCAACCTTATGTGGTGCGTTTTTACGGACGTTGAGCTAACGTTGACATATTACAAGGCTCCAAATGATAACAAACAAACAAATAAAAGATACTATAATACATTGGATGTTGCTTCAACAAAAAGCTCATTTATTATCATGATGTGCTCTTGGTAAGTAAATCTGGACTTGCCATAGAATTACTAAGAAATTAATTAGGTTACTTTAAGAGTATGAGTATAGTAAAACATCATGCATAAATTTTGACAGTGTATGCAAATTGTTAATTTTTATTATGCCCGACTACCAATGATTTATTACCAGCTTCCAAAGAGTGTCCATTCATTTTTAAGTGAGCACATAATAAACAGAAATAGCTAACTGTCAAAACAAAAAAATGCTAGTTTAAAAATTGCTTTTGAATCACTCCAAATAATAACCCTAAAAGCTTTGCCTTTAAAAATTCAAATAATTCTATCCAAAGTTATAAACTAATAGAGAAAGCATACCAGTACGTTTCAGCCTGTCAGCCAACCACAAAAGCAAAGCTCAATAAAATCCTGATTCCACAAAACATACAACTCCGGGGTCCTTAGAGCAAAAGCAACAAAAGCAATATCAACAAAAGCACTTCCCTCATGCTATTCCGAACAATGGTTCATCATGGTCATAAATCAGGTTGCATTCAGCGCCACCTAGTGGGGCACCCAAGAGGTAAGGTACAACTCCGGAGCTGCTGCCACACGGATCTAGATCTTGATGACAAAGCCCTGTCCGGGATTGACAAGCAGAGCATCCTCGAACGACACCGACGCGCCGGTGGCTGCCTTCTCCGTGTTGACGACGACGGTGCCTGTGGCCGGGTAGTCGCCCCTCACAAAGGCGGGCAGCGTGAAGCGGTCAGCGGCGTCACCAAAGTTGAGGACAACGAGATACGCCGCAGGACGATCCTCCTCCTCGTCCTCCTCCTCATCCTCCTTCTTGACAACGCGGCGCCGGAAAGCAATCAGGTTGGCACCGGACCCGTCGATCAACGTCATCTCACCCTCGACGAATGCCGGCTCGCCTCGCAGCTTCCCCAGACGCATGTAGACAGCGAGACTGGACGTGTTCGCCTTACGCTGGTCCTGCAGGCAGACAAACGTCAGTGAGCAACACACGAGCCAACTAGCACCAACGAGAATCTCAGCGAGACACAGTATACTCCAGTTGTAGTCGGTACAATTCACATTCAAATTCTGCTATGTTTTCAACTTCAACATGTTCAACTAACATAAATAGAACTGGCATTGACTTCTAACGCCAATTCGTATGGACTGCAAGGTTAACTCTGATGGCTCCCTGACATCAAGAAAGCATCAACCCTCCCTGACTCCAAGACACAATCCACCCTCCCTGACACCAAGACACAATCCACCCTCCCTGACACCAAGACACAATCCACCCTCCCTGACACCAAGACACAATCCACCCTCCCTGACACCAAGACACAATCCACCCTCCCTGACACCAAGACACAATCCACCCTCCCTGACACCAAGACACCATCCACCCTCCCTGACACCAAGACACCATCCACCCTCTCTAAAACCATGACACCAGTCTCCTTGTAATGACTAAGCAACACTGAGATGATGGGGGAAGCTCTACTACTACAGCTTACCTCCACGTTGACATCCAGATCCCCCAGTGGAAGCCATGGCTCGTCAGAGCTAGTGAAATTACCACCGGCTGCACTGGACCAAACCATCGGGCCCCTGTATGGGTCACGGGTCACCGAATCGTAGTTCGTCTAAAAGGTAGGATAGAAGCATGTGAAACAACCAGGAAAAAAATACTTTTTTTTCACGGGAGCTCTTTTCCAAGTCTGTGGAAAAAATAGCTCTCGTCAATAATTTTAAGGGAGCGATATCGGAGGGTTGAAGAGCGAATCGCTCATCCCTCCTGTGTATTTTTTACCCTGGAGACATCAGTCACGAGGTGCAAAGGGTTCTGTTCACACCTGTCACCCTAATCGCCCAACTCCTGTGTGCAGGTATGAGAATCCGGTTAAATTTTTATTAACCCGACTCTGCATCAGACACACGTCTTTTGCGTCACTAACGAAGCAGTGCTTGACACATTCACTGATCTCACCTTTCCAACGCTGAGAGCGTAAGCATCCTTGGTTTCCTCAAAGGATGGCACTGCGCTATTGAGCAGTCCTATCTCCTCACCATAGTACAGGATGCGACCACCAGGTAGCAGTGTGGTCATCATGTTCAGAACGTTGGTGTAGTCACTGCCCCTCAGGGATGCAATGCGAGAGTGAGAGTCATCTCCTAGCTGCGCAGAAATATTAATAGCAAAATCAACATCAACAACAACGACAACAACAACAACAACAACAACAACATCCAGAGCAAACCATCGGAATGAGTCGTCATCATAATCATAATTTAACACTGCACGAATTTTTATATGTTATAAGTAGACAGACATGACTTCAGTTAAGCATCAACCACCCATGTCCCAGCACTGTATCTGCCTGATGAAACAATCAGTAGCGAGGCCGGTCCCGACTACACTGATACAACTTGCAGCCACCTAGGTGATCGTTGTCCTACCTGCCAGGTAGCTAGACCAGTGCTGTTATCAGTCGATGATTTGATGTGACCACGAACACACTCAGCATCGCAGCTCGAGTCAAGACGCCCAACCCAGCCCATGTTCAGCACGCTGTCAGATCCATAGTTGAGGAACTTCAGGTTGGCTTGACGATCACCACCACAGTCTGTTATCAAGAACCTACGACCATGCCAAAAAAGAACAATGGTAAATGCTATTGTCGCTTGTAACGCTACAACACTATTTGCATTTCTCCTTTACTATACATTTATAGACATTTTATTGGTCCGTCACGTGACAGAAACTCCAGTTTTTTTCTATTTCCAAGGAGAGAACATCACCTGCGACCGGAGGCAGTGACAAAGTCCTCAATGACGCTCTTCCATTCGCTGACCAGCTCGTAGCTTCCGTTCTGGTACTTGGTGAGCGCATGGTCCATCGAGTCATAGTCCGCTTTACCCTACAAATAACTTACTATTACCATCTCATCTCGTAACGGGCTAACGATAACTTAGAATCTAATGTAGGATGGTTTAGTGTTGATGCATGTTAAATATGTCAATGTCCACCTATTCATTGTCACATCAACTATACCATTACTTTCTATCATTGCGAAAGTGACATGTTTTAAATATGCTTCATTTAATGAATTAATCAGACACAAAAATATGACCCTTTTTGTCACATTTTATAACCAAAATCTTATTTGATGATTCTACCATCTAATAAACTTTTACTGTTATTTAAGTTGTTACTCAGCAAAGTTAAACTAAATCGTGATATTATCTTCAGAAAAATACATGTCATTCTTTGGAGGTAATTTTAGCATTAATCTGCAAAGCTGTAGCCACTTTTTGTATCTGAACCAATACAAGATTTCATTTCTTTTTTAGCAACTGATCTGACCAGATGTGCAAATTCTACAAAACTGCAAAACCTAAACTCAACCAAAATTACGATTTAGAGTGGTGGATACACCGTACTTAACAGAGACTACAGTGTCACTCTCCACCTTGTGGCCACTTTCACAACATAATATTGAAATACTTGCCATCCCAGGAATTATAAAGATTAATTTGTTTTCAGAGATTTCTAAACTCTATTGGTCAGTAGCAAAAATATAATAATTTGAACCATAGTTTTCAAATCCAATAACAGTCACTAAGTAACATCTCAAAAATTGTACAAATTTCACAAGACCAAAACACTGTGGTTAGCCTACCACTACCCACACACCACACACCTTTCCCTACAAAGTTTAAATTATATCCCTGCATCATTTATTGCAACATGAGTTTCCCTGCAGTCTTTCCTATTACCATTCCATTATACATCTTCTACAATAACTACAATTAGATAATATTAGATTAATTAGATATGTACTTATTTATTAGATTCAACACAAGTTCTCAAGACACCAAATCTACATACCTCTGAATGAAACTCATTGCTACTCAACATTGCCTCCCTCTTCACAATGTCAGAAGTCAACAATGTATCATCAGTGAGGTTGGCAGCCTATAACGTACAGCGGGCAACGTGCAACAAATAAGCAGTCTACATACAACATACACACTACAACACTCGTAACAACTACAACACGAAGAACGTGGCTCTAACACAACTGCACTGCAAGGTAACACACATGCACACGCAACTACAGCAACGAAAAAATGTCTGCACTTGCTGTAGTGCGTTTCGTGCCATGGCAACGTCATGGCAACGTAGGCGGTACCACAGCAACTACATCGCAGACGCCACAAGGATTAGAACAATTGAGCATCCACGGAGTTACCTGTGCACTTTCGTCACTCCCGATATCCTCGCTCTCAATTAGGAATGCAGTATCCCTCATAACGAAGCCATCAACGCCCTTTTTCAGCCAGAAGGTGAGCACGTCCTAAACACAGAACATCGCATCAGGACAGTACACCTAACTAACTGTTGATAATGCAAATACATTGTTAGTATACTCACACCATGATCACATTTTTGTGTGTCAGTATCGCTCGCTGTTCCACAAATGTCACATTGAACCAGCGAAAAGACTTGAAAATTTGCTGCCACAAAGCTGCTGATTGGATGAGAATCAATCACAAAACATTTATTGTACATGACAGTAATTTATGCATATTACATTCGTATATTAAAGTTCGTACCTTTAGCTCCTTTTTCACGGCATCGTCTCTAAGGTTGAGCTCCGGCTGCTGCTTGGGACCAGAGTGGTAATAGAACTGGCCCCTCACTGCGTCCCAGGTCCATGCTGACGTGCCGTGTCGATTCAACTAAATGGCAGATGGCAACGATTTAGTTTTTTTTATATATTAATTACTTATTATGCAGCTAAATTTGCTGAAATTTAAACACTAATACCTTTTTTGCATCATATGAAATAAATGGTTACTAGCCACATATACAGTGATGTCTTTATTAGATGTACGAGATCCTATCACCATTGAACAGATACTGGCACAAGCAATCACTAAAGTTCCCAGTGATAAATAGGTTAACTGTTAGTAACTACCTTCGTTAGCAGTTACTGACCCAATTATTTGGTGGTTGCACGCCACCACCAGACGTAGTGGTGTTGGCTCCGTCCGCCCAAACATAAAAGTCCTTGTAGGGTGCTGTGCCCTGGCGAGACTCAACGAACCACATGTGCTCATTGCTCGTGTAGTTCGGAATGAAGTCGAGTATGATCTTGATATCTGAACAGAATAAGACACACAGGTAAGAGCATTCAATGGTATTACATTACAGATATAAGGATACTCACACCTGAGATAACGCAACATGGACACACCTGAGAGAAAGCAACTGGGACACACCTGAGAGAAAGCAACAGGGACATGCCTGAGAGAAAGCAACATGGACACACACTTGAGATAAGGCAACAAGGACACACAACTGAGAAAATAACATGGACACACATCCGAGATAAGGCAACATGGGTACATAACCGAGAGAAAGCAACATGGGCACACACCCGAGAGAAAGCAACATGGGCACACACCTGAGAGAAAGCAACATGGGCACACACCTGAGAGAAAGCTACATGGGCATGGAAAAGCTATATGGAAACACCCAAGAGAAAGCCACAATAACACACAATTGCTTGGAGCAATATGAACGTACATTGGATACAAATTAATATGGGCATTCACGTGCACATACGTTCACGTTCATGCAAAGACTCATGAACACGCACATGTATGCACACCGATAAAATAATTTTTTCTTATGACAATTATACAAGCATATATGACTATACTATGTACACGCAACAAACTTTAATCACAGCCTGTTTGCCTGCAATCGAGGACAGGACAATTACTGAAAACGTGAAATCACTATAGGCAATGTTGCAGCCTAGAGGTTGATACAGGATCTAACTCAACACCACGCATGCATCCAACAGCCTTCTACATTTACTCGATACTTGCCTTTAGCGTGGAGGGCGGTTACAAGGCTGCCAAACTCTGTCATTGTTCCATACATCGGTGCGATACTTGTATGGTTCATGACATGGTAGCCGAAGTCATTCTCACCAAAGGCGTAAGGAGAGAGAATCCAGAGTGCATTCACTTTCAGATCGTTCAGGTAGTCTAACCTTGACTCAATTCCTAAACATCAAAGGGTTGTCGGTAAAAATTAGGTGTTTCGATTAATTGGCTGGGTCAAGTATTAGTTGGATAGGTCCCATCATTAATTAATTGACTTCTGACTACTCTTATAAATTTTAATCAGAAAATCTTTGCATACATACATTATGTCGCGGATAATCTCAGTTACACTATACCCGAGAGGAGGTAGTTTTTTATCATGGTGTCATGTTATCATGGTTATTAGGTAGGGGCTCAAAACCATGAAAAACTGCTACTTTTCCTTCTCCAGAAAACGGCCAGCCAAAAATGTACTTTTCCGTAGCAGTTTCGGATTTCCTGCTGGGGGAAATTATTAGTAAGGTTGTATAACAACTATATAGCCAAGAGTTCACATGCATTCTCACACTAGGGGCGAAATTACACAGTTTGACACTGCAACATAATAAAATACTGATCGAGTAGTTAATTTTGGTATTAACTTTTTTGCAGGAAATAGGAATAGTTACTTTTAGTTTTCTGTCAGCATATTCACTTGTTCCAGACAAGTGGAAATATGTTAAGGATACACTCAAGCTTTTGCACAGGTAATGCTCTAAATTTAATGAAGAGTAAACGTTTATTGACAATTGAATCGAATCAATCACACGTTTTATTTATAGACAAGATGTATCTCTATGCTCAAGTCAAAAAATCTCATGAAATTTCCAGCACAAAACTGATAACACAAATTTTGAATTTTTATGTAAGAATGGTATTTGGGATATTTCTCAATTACCACAGAGTATGAAAGCAAAATTCTCGCCACACGCTTTTAAAAGCACAATATGCGCAGCATGGACAGATTAATATCAATCAATGATGTGCACAAAGCAACTTTTCATGCAGATAACAGCATGGAACTTTGGAAGGAAACATAACAAGATTGCAGAAGCAGATATAATGACATTTGTGAATCTCATCACACTACATAATTTATATTTATATCATCTTTAGATGAATTCTGATGATGAAAATGTAGCACTTGGGCAATCCAGAGAATTATATGCAAATATTACAGAAAACATTACAAATGGAACACAGAATAAACACAGAATAGTGCTTTTTACACCCCGGGTTAAACTGCAGGCTCTACAGGCTCAACCTGTATTTAATAATTTAGTGAATAGCATAGTTGGCATGACTAAAGACTGGCGTAGCAACCCTGAACCCACTGTATGAACCAGCATGAGTTCATATGCCTATGCTATTGCATCAGCTACCAGGATGTGGAAGCATTGCATTGATCAGCTTCCCAAACGCCAGCTGCTGCAGCTAGCATTACAATCTATTTCTGTCTGACCAGCTTGTAAATGCAGCTGCTAGGAAACCAGTTGCTACCAGTCTGGCATCAGAAGGCAATCATACAGACTGAGGTTACACAAAGGAAAGTTGTTTTTATTGGTTAGGTGCAGGGACATACATCGGATCAGTGCAGTAATGTCATCACCAAGATATTATGGACTTTGCCGATAGAAATTTACTCTTTCTGTATTCTTCTAGACTGATTGTACAGCCAAACAAGTATTACTCAACTAGCACTGTTAAACTAGTTTCAACAAAGAAGCACAAATAACTACTTCTCAATTATCACTGTTAACTAGCAACTTTAAACTAGTTATACTTCTAAGTGCATCTTCTGCGCATCACCTACCCTTGAGATCTCCGTTTCCATCCCCATCACTATCCTGGAAAGACCGGGGATGGACCATGTAGGTCACTCCCTCATTGAACCAGTTGTCGGCAGGGATAGCCGGGCAGCCCGGCGCAGTTACAACAATAGCGATGGCTCCAGCCAGCATCCCCAGCCAGGCCAGGCCGAAGATGATGAGCAGTATCCAGCGGATGCGAACCCAGAATGGATCATCCGCATACTTCATCAGCTCCTCCTTACCCATCCCCATGGCAACCTCATCGTGACCGACCTACGGGGTTGAGAAGAATAACGAGGTAATTAAGAGGTATTACGGGGTTTTTATGAAGTATAAGTCTGTAATTTTTTTCTGGGTTTCTTGTGACTATGGCTAAGCCTAATACTAGCTAGTAGTAATAGCAATAATAATACTAGTAATAGTACAACTACTAATAGTAATACTACTAGTAGTAGTAGTACTACTAGTAATACTAAATAAAATCATCCTATCCCTACAATATACGGTAGGCTACCAATCGTGGTTATAATATATATGTATATAATATTCTCAACGACTTGTTACGCTCTTCATTATACACACATATCATGATGGGAAACTAACGATAATCGGATATTACTGAGAATCATACATACCTCGATTTTTACGTCCCCTTCCTGATCGCCATTTGGCAGGAATTTTACTGTAGACTGATCCTGTTCTTGTTCAAGCTTCGACTCATCGGGAGCGTCACCTTTGCCATTTTCGAGTTTCTCCTCTAAAGGAGGATACACGTCGTTCTGCATTTCTATAAGTTAATTCTAACCAAATAACGAACAACGTCACCGATGCCTAAAGATTCAAGTTTTACACAAATTCAACCTGATGACTAAGCTCTTCCGCAATATATGTTACGACACTTCGCTTGTTCTTGTGTTTCAGGATAAACAGTGGCGCCGCCTTGTGTCAGGTTCGCGCGCACGCACATGCACGCTATGCACGCACGCACATGCACGCACGCGCACGCCCGCATGAATACTGACAAATTGTATATTATTAAATGATTTGTCATTTTTAATTTTTCTCAATGATTCACCCCTGGTATTACTGGTCAGACCAATGGTCTGCATAAATATATTATGATATAGTGATGTACGCTGCCTATAACTGTCAGAATTCTGATGATTGAATATAAAAGAATAAAATCATAAAAACTAGACTATTTTTATTATATTATATCTATTTCCTTGATAAGGTTCTTACCCTTTATCAAATTTGTCTAAAAAAATTGTCAACAAAACATTCATAATTGTAGATAATGAGTGATATCATAGACTAAGAGATCAAATTGTCCTTGATGTCATAGTGGGATATGTCATTATTGTAGTGCGTCACGAGAGGCATTTAGTAACGTTCATATATTTTTGTATGTTTGAAGATGTTGAAACGGTAGTGTGTATATAAACTTCAGACAATGTTACATGCCCGAGCGAACCATAAGTTTTCACAAAGAAGACAATACTACAATTGCATATATTTCACATTTTTTTACTTGAGAGCGAAATGCGTTTCGTTTGTTGCCGGTAGTCATATTTAAACTGATGGCATACAACCGCAAAACCAAATTAACATTTAACACTGTTCTCTGAGCAACCGGGAATAATATCCAACTGCATTGCACATGTCAGCAAACTCATATGCCTCTGCTGCAGTGCTGCAGGGTATTTAGCAAGGACACGAAAAGAAACGTGCATGTGCAGTAGAAATTTCTGACTATAGGTACATACAAGTCACGTGAGCATCCCCTTTTGTATCATCTGCCAATGTGTATAATATCATACAGATAAACATACTAATGATAAGTTGGATGAATGTAATAAACATCACGACTTATTGTTGAGGACTGAGTCCGTTTTACAAAGTAATCATGTCTAATGCCAATGGAAAACAGAATGTTCTCTCTCAGTCGATCACTTCACTTCATTTGCTCTCCCCAGCTCCTGTTAATATAAATTTACTATAAAAGCACAATGCTTTCACAGCCATAGTATCTACAGCAATATGACATGCTGTATGAGGAACAAACTGAACGTGTCAAGAGATAAGTGTGATGCTTGTTGTCCAAAAAAGTGGAAAGATCACAGACAATCTATCTCATAACACAATATATAGTAGCACGTGAAACTTAAAAAACCTTGATCATGATCTTCCAAGCAAACGATTTGGTAAGAATTTGACTAGGAGACCAGTGACCACAGAAAAATTGCAACTTCATTATACAAGTGCCGCAGAGCGACTGGGCTCACCTGAGGTCTGTTGCTACGGTTATAAACGTACCATTTCAGTCGTGCGTAGTGACACCTTTGTTAGGCGCAGATATGCAGATACGCAGTTGCGTACACATCATTTCAGCAAACGTTTTTTTTATTGCAGAGAGAGAGAGCGAGAGAGAGGAAGAGAGAGAGGGGGGGGCGAGAGAGTGAAAGACAGAGAGAGAGAGAAAGCGAGCGAGAGGAGAGAGAGGCAGAGAGTCAGTCAGACTAAATTGTTTATAAACAAATAACACCCACGCGGCGTGCTACTGTATCAGTTACGTCATCGATTGAAATGTACATTCTGATTTCGCCGTGCGGCGTCCAAACTTTCGACGAAGATGGCGGGCAGAGGTAAGGTAGACGCACGTATAACGTACAGATTTCTTCAATGTCGGGGAGGATCAACACATTTCGACTGACAGTCAACCATCGGGCTCTGCAAGCCAGCATGCTCCACCATATCCCGACATTGCACACTACTGTAACGTTGACGGAGAGAGCCATACCAAGGACAGTACAAAACTGGCAAATTTTCATTGGTAAGTTTGACGATTCAATTCCGCAATTACTTATCTCAAGATTGATTAAACTGAAGTTAAGAAAGTAATTCTTTCTGCACTTTTGAGCGTAATATACATTTGACCTATCCTGCCGGGACATTCTTCTCACTCTGTTCCGATAGATGGCGTGCATACTGCATCGTATTACGTAGACTGGTACCCGGTCCCACCTCTCAGCTTAGTTACTCGATGGGGGAGTAATCGAGGTGGGAGCGAGTACCAGTCTACGTTTAGCCCATGCTGTGATACTATCAGCCACCCACCTGCGAGGTAGTACTATTTATAGTTGGCCTTAAAGCCTCACAATGCGCATCCAAACGCTAATTTCTACAGTACTAGACTAGCAAATACTTCGTGGCATGAATAATCACACTACCTTATGACAAAATAAACTCTAGCTCCTCCAATTTCACTGCGCGTTGTCTTATAAAAGGTATTTTGAAAATACCTCCAATGTTGTTGAAATTCTCCGATGTTGCGGTACAGCGGTACGGGCGCAGCAAAGATAAAAACATGTGACGTCACCAAACCAAGTCGATGTTATGTTGTTTGAAACAAGTTAGCGTTGGCGTCTGATTACCTGATTTCGCACCTCTTTCTTGTTGGGAACGCGCAGTCAAATGGGAGGAACTAGAGTTTATTTTGTCATAAGGTAGTGTGATTATGCATGCCACAAAGTAGTTGCTAGTCTAGTACTGGAGAAATTTCAGCGTTTGGATGCGCATTGTGAGGCTTTAATCAAAAACAGACGTTTGCGTAAGTGCTATTGACATTGTATTCCCAACATACAGAATCTCATATAGAGAATGAAGTTCATATATGATTTAAGGGGCGTAAACGTTGTTCAAGTAAGTCTTGCATGCAGAATTTCACTGTGAAATTTAAGTCTTCCACGATCACACAAGTACCATCAATCACAGTTCAGTCCTTTGTTAACAGTCAACAAATCCATGTTTAACCCTCCTCTTGAGGGTCAAAAGGTTATCAGACACTTACTCTTTGCACGTCAGTGGAAAGCACATTTCATGGTCCTTTCAATAAAGCCATAAAAATGGTAGGTCACCGCTGAAACAAAAAAGTGTTTTCAATCGCTCCATCAGACCATGTCCTCAGAAAATGTCTAAAATCTGCCCTGTGCCCCATTGACCTTTGACCCGTGACCTCCAATTTCGGCACAGTGATGGCTTTTCCTACTATGATGCTATACACCGACTATCACGAGCCTAGGTTGAGCCATTTAGATTTGTGCCGCAATTCTGCATTTCCTCCCTATACCTTAAGTTAAAGAGGGAATGTTCCCCCTTCTTTTACACCGCTTCACCTTTGACCTTTGACCCCCAGCTTCGACATCCCAACTCGTTTTCGGATTACCCCCCACGTCCCGAATATCGCGACCGTACGTCGAGCGGTTAAGATTTGTGCCTAACTGTTGACGCACGCACGGCCGGACGGACGGACGGACGCACAGACGATCATGCGATTCTACAAGCTGCATCTGACTATGTCAGATGAGCTAATAAGAGAGGAGCATGACTTCACACACCAATGGACAATAGTTAGTAGTTCTAGATGAATAACCAGGATCCTAATCACCAGTACTGCAACCATCGTGACTCATACAGACGGATGGACTAGAACAGATAAAAATGCTTGCAACAAGTGATATTGCAAGCTGGGCAAGCTCAGACATCCAACTTTTGCATGGGCGACACAGTTGATCATGTTTAGTTTATGCTCGGCTCCCAAACCTAAAACGTTTCCTTAATGTTACTACTGAACCGTTTTCCAAATAAGTGCACTAGTTATGACATGTCTCAGCATGTCACGTCTATAAAACCAGATGGGTGATTCAGTACTGACCAGCTCACAAAATTTGTCCCTGGTGATGAGAGTGGATGTGGTAGCAATCTGGTCTCTCTACACAACAAGCTGTCACACATACCTACTACAACAACACTACCTACTACCTAAGAAATTACGACTCCAGCCACTTGTTAATGTCTTCTGCTTTTCAGCATCTGCCATTTGTTGAGCTTGATGTGCCTGTTGTTCCTAAACACACCAAAACACTTCATATAGACTAAACATAATGGTAAATAATGGAAAAATTTACCATTTTTGTAACTTCCCCCAACACAAATGTTCAATTGCATCATAATTTTGTTAAATTGAAAATCAGAAGCAAATCTTATCTTGAAAAATGGCATTTCAAAATTCCAGGACTTTCCATGTTGTCCAGGAACTATACGAAATTTTACATATGTGACATTTTACTGCACAGGTTCTCTTTCATACCTGCAGCAACCTTTGATTGCGTTTAAAGGCCTCGATAGGGTCATCCTCATCCTTATAGTGATCCAGTACTTCTCTCACATCTTCAACCTCACTAACTGCGATCGCTGCAAAAATTATAAGCAAACATCAATGAATGACGCCACGATACAATAGAGAGCGATCTGGGTGACAGGCATACAAACACATGCTTTACCAGCTCGATATTAGTCCTTATATTTCCAATAGCTAAAGTGAATTTTACGATTTTATTTTTAGTTTGTTAATTTAGCGTTTGCTAACATACACTACATACCACCATACATCACTCAGTGGCCCGTTGTCAGGAACATCACAAAGTTAAGGGTAATGTTAGTGCTAAGATGTTAAAGGCATAATAGGCCCAGTGATTATACAAAGCTGACGAATGCTACAGTAACTGCATGGCACCTTCTGTAGTTAATAAGTACATTACCTTATAGTCAAACGCGTATTAGTTTGTCCAATATCACTGATAATTACTAAGAAATGTCTAATTGAAATCCGTAAATCTGGTAATCTGGCGCCAACGCTAAATTGGTTGCCAAGCAAAATAGCCTCGAATTCGGTTAGGCAACGTCACATGTTGCTACGGGTGTTTAGCAGAGAATTGTTTGTCCTGGGATGCTTATATACGACTAATGAGCTAGTATAATGTATCTCTGGGTGTATTCTCGGTATTGAGGCACAAGTAAATAACCGTGGGTGCTAATGAACGGGTACCCACATGTCTTCAATTTCAGACACAGGTGTATTCGTTTGACCAATATACGTAAATACGCGTAGTGCCGTCTGCTTTCCATGTTTAGTCTGTGGCCGTGGTTAGTCAGCGATCCTCCCATAGCAGCGTTGGCCCCCAACACAGCCTACTTCATTATCACGAGCGTCCGTGATTCGTACGTGGATTCCACGTTCATTACAATCAGAGCTACTGTTACGTATACAGTTACGGTACTGTACTATCGCTAGCATTGCGTACGGCCGAGCGAAAATGCATGCGTGCGTGCGTTTTTGCATGCGTGCGAAAATGTCCGGTGGACTATAAATCTGTATCACACCCGTTTCGAAGTATGCGGTTTCGAAACTGTAAACAAGCCAGTCAACTGATTTCGTGGACTGCGGATTTCAATTAGACATTTCTTAGTAACCATCAGTGATATTGGACAAACTAATACGCGTTTGGCTATAAGGTAATGTACTTATTAACTACACAAGGTGCCAGTTACTCTAGCATTGGTTAAAATTGCATAATCGATGGGCCTATTATGCCTTTAATGTTGTTGGTAACCATAATAGCAATGTTAAGACTAATTTTGTTTCTGACGAGTCTCTGGCATTCAGTGCAGAGTATATTTGCAGCGGCATTCTGCCGTAAACACAGCACTGGCCTTAGATGATAAAGTGACTTACAGCAGTCATAAAGCCTTGTTCTACATATATGCATATTCAGCAGTCATCATGGCCACTTCTTTACCCTGTAACACTTGGCCTGTCCCCATCTAAAGTATTTTCTATCACTGCCCCACAACTCCAAAACATGAAAGAGTCATTATGATCAACCTTCCAACAACCCCAATCACCATTTTGTCCTGCCCCACCGCAGTATGAACTATGCACTATGCCTGGATCTTCCCCAAACCCCACCCATTAACATTTCTGCTTCCTTGGCTTCCTCTAGCCCCATCTTTCCTCCACCCATACCACTTACTGCGCAGGAATGCACCAAGATCAAAGAGTGTTCTGTCGTCATCGTTGCCGCCCCATTTCTTCAGCTGCAGGGCATTGCGTGGCTGCAGGCTGATTGCATGACTATTCCAGTCTACAACGATCACCTTGGACATGTCACGGTTCAGACACGACAGATCCTGTGGGCCAATTGGAAGCAACGAGTTATAGATGGTAGTGTAGAACAACGCCCCATTGACAGCCAATTATGGAATGTAGTGCAGAACATAGGTTTGCAAGGCCAATGGTTCTTAACTGGATAGGCTCCACAAAATTCAACTTCATTCCGAAGTAGCAGGAAAATGTGCAATTGATGCTAAATTAGCCGTGAGTAGCAGCAGTTTATGATTCTCTTAGTTTCATCCTGGGAGCATGCTATATTTAACTCTTTTTTCGTCAAATGAACCATGATTGTAAATCAAGTGGCAAATAAAGTGGCAATGATTGTCTGTTATTCCTTATGACTCGATGCACTGAATTTGATGCACATGATACACATGACCTTACGTTCCATGCATATTTCCAGTTAAAAATATGTTGAAATTATGCTACATAAAAATTCCATTGTTTAAAATTCATTAGAAATATTTTTTAATGTTTTTAAACCGGCAGCTATACCATTGCTTAGAACGACGGTGGCACCACTACCAGCGTAACCACTGCCAAAGCTGTGCAATGTCACTTTTTGGCTGCAGGCTACAGACCAAGGGTGTTTCTTGTTTATTAACTTAAGAGAAGGATTGCAATATTTTTAAACCACTCTAAGTTTTAGTTATAACATGGACGATTATTTATGCACATACTATCATAATATACTCGAACGTTCTAGGTTATGGTACGATGATAGCACAAGCCCTGCTCACCTTCACGTGATGGCCTTTTATGTAGCGGGTAGCATCTCGAAACAGCCTGTACATTATGTAGCCTTGTGGATCCAAGCTATCTATGATTGGAAATGCTGTCTGAAATTCATGCATGAACAAAACTTAATGCTTCTTGTTTAGACACGAAACTCTTGCTTTTACAATAAACTCACAGGATGATATGGATGCCACTGCAATTGAAACTTACAAAACCTTGCTCCTGAGTGTAGATGACCACTTCAAACAAGGGTGGTCCCACTTGCTGGAGAAAATAGTCAATTCCTGGCCGTTTCTTGAAGCGCCACCCCGTTCCATACTGTAATTATACAGAGTTGTTTCCATTATTATTTTAGATAGGTTAGGTTAGGATAGACTAGCAGACAACATATACATCAAAACATGTATTTGGAAATCAGGAAATCAATATGTTCCACATATAGGTACCTGTTTAGGAACTGAAACCAATAATTTGGACAGGTTCGACTTACAGTCCAATTACGGTGGATAGATATATCAATTTACTTACACTCAAGTGAGGGTAGACAACTCCACCTGTTTCCCTACAGTTCAGTTAGGATTGGCAAATATATCTTTTTACTCACAGTTCAGTAAGAATAGACAAATAAATCTATCTACGTACAGTCCAGTCAGGATGGACAAGTATACCAGTCATCTCTAACACCAAGGTATACTTTGGCTGGTAGTATGGCTCGGTGAGTGGATCTGGAAGTAACTTGTCTCTGGAAGGTTCCCGAATCATCTGTGAGCAGGATAAAAAAGCTGTCACTGCGCAACATAGCACTACTCAGGAAATAGTCGTTTGATCACTCTCTTGGTCTCTCTTGCTCACTCTCGCTCCCCCTCTCTCTTTCTGCGTGTGTCCATAGTGAGTAAGGTCACCTTAGAAACACGAACATACCTTTTCATAAAAGCGTGCCTCACTCCATGCTCTAAACAAGTACTGCTTTGCTGTTGACACTGAAATAAACAGCAGATATGACAAAATCGAGCACGCTTCCATTTGGATCTACTATTGTTTAGCATTTTTAGAAATACACCAATACACTACTAGCACAATCAAATAACATCATACACTATATGCAAGTGATATCAATCATGACGTGTAATACAACCCAATTACTCTCATGCACTTACAGTTACTGTATTCATCCTGGATCTGAAACATTAATGTGAAAATAAATTATTGTCCGAGTTATGACACAGTAGTTGCAAGACCCAAGCTTGTTGACCTAGCATGAGTTACACATATCTCTTGAGAAATATTCAACTGTTCATAATACGAAATAGTATGCAGAATCAGTGATGAAATAATGTGAATTTTCACATCACAGAATTGTGTGTATTTTAGAACTATAATTGGCTATACTAATTCTCACGTCTGTAAATGTTATAGATGTTAACAATTAGGTTGTTAATATTTTCATTTACTGCCTTACATCATGTCCTTCTTCATCCTTCTTTGGTGCTCCTAGAACAGAAATCAAACTTGTGGTTATCAGATATCATAGGAAATATTCTCTGTTACATATTGCATTAATCATATCGAGACTTCAAACTCGCAATTTCAACACTCATCGGGATAGCTTATATTAGACACAAGCACATATCTACTCTAGGACCCCAATAATTACACCATAAGCTGATCTGAACCCTATCATTACGTACTGGGGTCTGTATACTGACCCGTATTGCGGTAAGGGAAACCATGTTCACATACACTGCAATATGCAGCATATATCAGTCAGGAATTGGCTAAATTATTAACATAAAACCCTTATCCAATTAAGATATAATGATACCATCACTAGCTTCAATATTTTAACAATTGATTAAATCAATTCATTGAAGAAATTTGTAACATATATATATATATATAACATCGAGTAGTGTATTACATCATGCACACAATCTATCTAATAAATAATGCCACCTCCACATACTGTCTGCACTGCACTTCCTCCAGAAGTGGCAGTGCTTTAATGCTAGAGTAAAAGAATGGGGTAAAAAACATGTTTACTTTGTATTTTTAAGCAATAACTTCAGGATATTCTGATATATCTTTTGGATACTAAACTATGAGTAAATAAAAGTTGACCACATTGACCAAAACATTGTGTGGCATTTTCACGGTAGTTTGCAAACAAACAATTTTCAAACCATTATTATTTAATAGTCAGTGATTTTAGGGGTCGTTCACAATTCTCCACATTTTCACAAGTGTACAAAGAGTACACTTTTTCGAGACCCCCCCCCCTTCCCTACTAAAGGTGTACGAAGAAAAATGTTGATTTTTTTCACACTATTCTACATAGTGATATATGTATATGAATTACATGCAAACCCTGGAACAATTGATCAAGGTCACCAGCGCGGCTAGAACTATTGCCCGCCATCGTGCTGGTTGTTTACACTGCATTATAGGCTCGGCTGCTAGCTAGCTAGCTCGGTTGGTTCGTTCAGCGGGCCCGTGCAAGGCACGGGCCGGCCGGGGCTCGGCGCGTCGCGGCATGAGGATGCGCGCGATGCCGGCTGGGGCACGCGGCGCGGGAAATAGATAGACATTTTTCGGAAATGCTGAAAGCGTACGGCAGGCATTGACTCCCTCCCCCCCCCCAGCGTACGGTTTGTAAGCTTGTAAAAATGTTGATAATTGTGAACGACCCCTTACCTCGTTAGATTATTCATCAAAATTTATGAGTTATCATGATATAAAAAGGCTTCATTCAACTATTACCATGTGAGTGTGAGAATATATGACGTCATCTGACTGCTATTGCTAACAATATATTAATTATTATATCATATATTATCATATGCACAGACAGATCAGTTTGATAGAAATTAAGTTCATCAGAAGTCAACGAGTGACGTTGTTTATGGATCAAGGAGGACCCTGCAAGTGTGTTTTCGCATATGTGCTAAACTAAACAGGGGTGCTAGACTAGGCTTGGGCCTTGTTTATTGGGTATTTTGTGTGTATGATGTAATTCACTACTAACATTGTAAAAAGTATTCTTAATCTTATTAATAATAATAATACGGACCCCAAACAGCGATAATCATCCCACCAAGACCGCTGAACATAACAGCAAATGACGCAAACGTCCATCTCATGTTCTTTGCAAACTTTTCCCGCCGTTTTCCCTCTTCATCGTTTTCTGTGTCCTTATTTCCACTCGCACCGGGACCCGCCGCATTGGCCAATTTATTCACAAGAGCGTCAGCCGATTTCTTGGTCGTTTCAGCATCTTCGTGTTTTGTCGAAAAGAATATCACACGTGACGTTGGCAGCATAGAGCCGCTACATTTGTAAAGTACATTGCTACCAGTCCATGATGATAACCTGTTGCTGCTTCTATGTAAGCTTTTGTTGTGACGTGATAGTTTAGTTAAATTTCGTATCAAACACATGCACCTGAGGGCTGCCATCATATATCCCATAAAGCCAAGCGAGTTTTTCTCAAAGAGTTCTGTTACCATATAATCTGTTACGTATCTGTTACGTATCTGTTACTATAATATCCTATAATGCCTATATATGCAATACATCAGATTATATTATAACTCGATACGAATTTTCCATTACTCGGTGCAGAAATAAAATTTTAAATTCTATATAAAAGGTGTTTTTTATCAATTCACGCTCATTTATTTCCGCAAGGTGGCACCATGAATCGGGTGTGCTTTCGAGCAAAATTTGCTCTCGAGCACTCGAGCTGAGGAACGATCGAACGATCAAACGTCTCGGAAACAGATAAGATTAGATTTAGCTTGAGTGCAAGCCTTTTTGTCACTGCTACTCAATTTATAATGCACTAAACAGTAGTAAGTTCATTTTAACTGAAGATTTAGATTTAGATTTAGCTTGCAGGGGTCGAAATTAGATTTTTATTATGGTATCCATTCGGGATACCAGGTATTGAAATCTGGTATCCCCCCAAAAGATCTGGTATCCCGGATTTTTTTGGATAGTAATTTCAACAATGTTGGTATCCAAAATCTTGAAATATGCAATAATAGCATTTGAAAATTATCAAGAGCTAATAATACCTAGAGTGTACAACGGAAAAACGGGAAAATAGTGCTATTTCACGACTACATTATTCTACTTTGCCTGCGAGTCTAGAATAATTTCATGGTATTGCATAAGCCTTATCGCCAATCGGAACAGCAATGCGTCATGGGATAGGAAAAGGGGCATTACTAGCGCCGCCGCCGCCACGAGCGGTTAGCAGCCGGCTGCACGCAATAGGCACTTGAAGCATATCAACAGTAAACATACGCCGCCGCCATCGCGCGTACACTGACACATATATATTA